TAAGGGCGAAGCTTGGGGTCACCTTTCATGCCGCCATCCACGCTGCTGGTTAAGCAGTAGCCCGTGATATCGCACGCCGCTAGTAGCTTCATGCCTGGCACACATCAAGAAAAAAACGGACGAACGTCCGCCGACAGGGAGGCCGAAGGGACCAGCTGTGGTACGACTAATGTTGTGTCGGAAGGCCAACAAAATAAAAATAATGTTGGAACCAGCAGCTGTTGACACCAAGGCGTATCAATGATTTCTGGAGTCTGCGATCACTGATGTACAGAAAAAGAAATGGTGTTGTGAAGAAGCGGGAAAACGCCGCACCGGGGGGTGGATAAGTGCCACCACCCAACTCGACGGCCCCCTCAACCCCTACCTCTTTATACTTTTGACAAGAAACACATCGGATTGTTCACGTGTACCACTACTCTCGGAGACACCTAACGTGAGACAAGCTTTCAAATGCGTGCGCATGCTCACCGTGCTTGATGGGCTTCGCTGGGCAGTAGAAAGAAGCCTTGCTCGAGTACTTCGAAACAGTCTTGATCATTTGCTCGTCGTACGACAACCAATTGTCACACTCGACGTTCGTCGCCCATGCAGTGTTGAGGATCTCTTCTAGCTCCCTGCCAGACAGGGAAGAGCACCAGAAGCACAGCACTTTAAAGGGTGGGCCGTTACCGGTAGGAACACGCTCGTCATTTGTTATTTCTATCTACTGTACCAGGACGACTGCAAGACAAAATTGAGTGTCGGGTGATGTACTCGACGGAAGAAACCTCTACTCATAGAGCGTGCATGTGCCAAACTTCACTGCCAGCAAACCAAAAACAAACCATACGGCCCGCACATGAAATAGCGGCGCCGTAGACGGGGGAGAATCTTCGACTTTCCGGGTGGCTTCGGTACCCTTCGACCCACGTCTGTCCCGCCCCCACCATCCCAACTGCAACAAAACCGAAACGACGAGACCCAAACGAAATCGACACCCCAGGTTTTCAACAGGACACACAGATTGAAAACGAAGACACCTGATATGCCACTTGGAGTCGTAATCTGGGTTTTCTTCGCCATCGGGTAGCAGTCGCTCCGGAGCGTTGGGGTCGGAGCAGTGAAGGAAGCGGCAGTACAAGAGCTCGAACACGTCGCGCGACATGCACTTCTGGACCAGCGGGTAGTTGTCGTGGGCGGACCGGCTCCAGTGCTTTCGCATCCGGACTTTCTTCGTGAGGCCCATGGTGATGAAAATGCCGATCATGCCGTCGATGTGCTGCTCCTCGAACATGCCGTAGGTGTTGCGCTCCTCGGACCGCTCCCCGAGCGTGACGCGACCGAGCGTGGCGGACTTCTTCATCTGGTGTGGCTTCCGCTTGTCTTCTTCACCGGTCGGCGGCGCCGTCGTGCAGTGCTTGACGTAGGCGTTCGTCTGCCCACAAAATAACGGAGGAGCGGGGGCGGGGTGGGGGAGAGAGACACGGAGGTTAGATGGGGGCGGGTTTCGAGGCAGGTTTCGAGTCAAAGCCGTGTGCAAGGCTATTTCAGAATCGTGGCAGAGCTATTGGGCGCACGGCAGCAGGGGGGCAGCGACTTTGTGCGGGGTGGATGGGTACCGAAGAGAGGGCGGGCGGTAGGTCTCGGGTTGTTTATGCACCTTCATCGTACATATTCGGTTTCACCATTGCAAGCACTGGAAATTCCTGTTTCAATACTCCGCACACACGCGCACCACGGGACACATGAAAGCAAAGCGGCGCGTGTCGCAACAAGACAACAACATAATTAACATACCTTATCCTAAAACAACTTTCGCGCCTTTCGCGGGAAGGTGAGGTCCAACCACTTCTCCAAGACGAGGTCAAGCGAAAACTCCCCGCTGGTAGGGTTCTGGTGCGACATGAAGTTGTCCAACGATGGCAGCGCGGCGCGAGCCTCTACCGACAACGAAACTCCACGCCCGATGTCTTTTGACAACTTGTTGCGCCTCGTGAAGTGGTCGGACGTTTCGTAGTCCTCCATCCCCCTTTCCGTCCACACCACCTCCTCGTCACTGCTCTCCTCCTTCAGCTCTGGGGGTGGCGACTTCCTGGACTTGGACTTTTTCTTCCGCTCGGGGTTGGTGGCTTCCTTCTTCTTCTGCCGTTCATATCGGAGCTGCGTTCAACACGTCCAGCGAACAAACAAACGTGAACAGCGATGGTTGGGACAAAAAAAGAACAATTGGTGAAAATGCGGACACACGCGCGAAAAACAACCATAAGCGAATCACTACGGGCATGAGGCGGGGGCGTGGAAGTAGGCCACACGTTTTCGGACTGAACAATGCACAGTAGCTAAAATTCCTGACAACCGTCGTGGACTAGCGACAGTACAACGGCGTCGACCACGACGGAACCATTGCGTACAACCAACGACGAAGGGGCCTTGTACGTGATACGAGGAAATGAGTTGCATTACACAACACCGCAGCAAAAGACCCGCGAAAACAAAGAATAGATCACAAGCAGCCATTGCAATTATGTGTCACTGCCCCAAACAAAGCACGTCAACCAGAGGTTCAACCCGGTACGGAACATAACACGACACATCAGTCGCCGACACAAGACAAAAGGCACACACTCCTACAAGCACGCCCTAACGGATGCGCAATCACACATGATCACAAGAGGAACGCGGGACACAGAACACACCTTTTCGGCCTTCGCTTTCATGATGCTCGTACGTTTGAACGCCGCCTTGTACGCTGGTTCAGCGATCTTGTTCAGCTTGCGCCGCAGCAACTGTTGACTCCTTGTGAGAGAAGGGAGCGCGCCTCTGCATCCGAGATAAGTCCAGTCCGTGCCCTCGTCGCCAATGCTCCCATCGGAGTCGTAGTTGCCCCCCCCCGTGCTGCCGGCGGCGCCACCTCCTCCTGACTTCCCCTTGCTTTCTCTGCTTGGCCCTTGTTTTTTCTTGCTACCCCCATCGCTCTTCGCCGTCCGCTTGTGCTTGATTTTTTTGTCAAACAGAAACAGGCCCCACATGTTCTTCTTGTACAGCGGCACCAACTGCCCTCTCCCGGTAGGCTCCCAAACCGCAATGTCGACCCCGTACATTTCGGGGATGAGTGAAAGCCAGCACAAGTCCAGCCACTCCGTCCGTAGCTTCTCTTGCACTATCGAATCCAGCCAACCGTAGGTCATCACGCCTTTGTCCGCGGGTTCAGGAGTGTTCAACTCATACCGCTGCATCCGGAAAGTTTCAGTGCACTGAAGAGCGCGAGCCCGACGCGTCTGCTCAGTCGAAAGCAGAGTGGTCATGACCGCTTGCGACGCTGATGGTCCTAGGATGTGGGAGATGATGCTGCGTTTGAGGGCACTCTTCACACCATCAGACATTCGTGGAACACGCATGTTCGTCTGTCCAAGACTCGCCTGGAGATCTTTCAGCAAGGCGTGGTAAGCACGATCCCCATCTCCGGCAACCTCGTGCGCTTGAGCTTTTCCCGGGGGCGTGAACGTGCCGCGGGATTCCCGTCTCTTGACAACGCAGTCCACCTTGGGAAGACTGTACTCAAACCCCGCCTTGTTGGCCGCGTCACGGCCGAGGCGGTAGGCTTGGGGCAGGAGCTCTTGGGGTGTGCACCCCCCCGTAACTTCGACTTCAGGTTCGGGGCGAAGAGCAGCAGCAGACACGGCAGCAGCAGCAGCAGCAGCAGCAGCAGCAGCAGTAGCCATGATGGTGCGGGGGAGAAAAGTCGCCAGCAGGGCGAAAAATTTTGTCTTCATCGCACCTGCTGGCGTCTGTGTGTGTGTGCGGTCCTCTGTGTGTGGCGCGCACTCGCAGATCTGCACCGCAGTGGAACTCCCTGCTCGTGTATTACTTGCGTCGGGAACTGTGTGTCTGGTGTCTCCGCGTTCTGACTTCCTCTGAGAACGCGGTCTTTTCGCGCTGACGAGCCCGCGCTTGCAGTGCGACTTTCGACGAAAAACTTGTGGGACAGGAAGAGTAACAATATTCTTATCGACACTCAGCAGGGGTGTAGTCGCAAAGGGGTTCATACGTCCATCGCCGCCGCGCTGCAAGAAGCGATGAAAAGTAGACCGAGCACAAGCAGCAAGGTCGTCGCCCACAGGTTACACCCGTTGGAACTTCCAGTTGCGGTCATGAGCGTTCGGTTGTGCCGCGCCACACGAAACAAGTGTCGACATACAGTTCATCACGGATTGTAGCCAGCCGCAGCCAAGGCATGGCTCCCCCTGCTGTCCCCGATTTTTTGTGTCTCTATACATAAGACGATTCCATGAACCCGAGTTCGTTACGCCGATGTCGTTACCCTGTGGAACATGGTCATTCGAATATGCCCCCCAACTCTCTGAAAAGGACGCACGGGGAATACAGTGGAAATCTTGTGGATCAAATTCCATTGTCGTTCTCCTCCGCGTGTTTTCTCCTCTTCGTCGACCGGCGCCCGTTGTTGAAATCCCTTATCCTCTTGGTCTGACGGGACTTTCCTTGCTACCCCTCCGGGTTTCCGGGTTCCTCTTTGGCCCCCGATCGATGCTGAAAAGGCTGCCTTCGACCGTCCTTCTTTGATCTCCCCTTCTTGGGCGCCTCTCCAGGATTTTGGACGCCTGTGCCTCCCGCGGACGAGTCAAGAAGATACCGGAGATACTCCCCAACCTTGTCCTGGACGGACAGCGCTTGATGCAGGGGCACGGACCTCATTATATCTACAAGCTCCTCGCTCTTCGCCATCGTACGCTCGACGCTTGTCGGAAGCGCTTGTATCCTGCGCGGCCCGCCCCGGTCCAGTTGGATGTATGCCATCCACCGCTTCATCGCATGTCGGTCCCCAGTAGTTCTCGTCTCTGACTTCGTCATGGCCGTCCCACCCTACGCCGTGACCTGACGACGACAGCACCGATGAGATGCTCCACGGCAAATCCTTGCCATCTTTTCTTCGGCGCCAACGGTTGTGGACACATGAGCCGTTGAAGGTATGGGTGAAGGCCATCTCGTCACTTTCGCCAGTTCGCCCGATGAGGTTGACAAGCACCGCAAAGTAGTCCCTACAAGGCAGTCCGCACCGCAATAGCTGTAAACAGGAACATAAGTGGAAGTTGTGATGTCCGAACACCACGAGGTGGCTAGGTCTGTTAGCCGTCCACTTGTATCGAACGGCCACGACCAGTTCGATAGGTATATCCTCGATCAAATCCAGGAAGGCTGAAAGCAACGTACGCGCCCACATAGTGTTGTCCACCGCAGCTTCGCCGGCTAACTGGTCTCCCTCGAGATCGGTATCAGGTGGTGCGACGTGAAGAATGTTGAGCTTGAGGCGCAATGAGCGAATCTTGGCGAGGTCGTGCTCGTGGAGAGGCAGCGGGTCCCCGTTCTCTTCCACACGACCTGAACTCACCAACTCGGCGTCATACGACTGCGCTTCGTCCACCTGCGCTCTGACCTCCTGCGACGGAATGAGGTTCGACAGTGCGAAGATGTGTTCGATGGGGTTTCAGTTCGACTGGATGGTGTCAGCTTGATAAATCACGGACACACCATCGCACGAATTCAACAGCGGCAACGATCCATATACCGAAACGCGACTCAATTCCTGGCAGTACTAGCTAGCACCACAGGCTAGGAGCTCCTGCTTCACGGGTCTGAAGAAATTCTCCACGTGGATATCCCGGAAGGCCACGCCAGCAACAAGGGGGGGTGTCGCAAACCTGCATGCATGGCATGAAAAGCAGTGCTACATAATGTGTGGCGGAGGGAGAAATTCATAGACATTGTCGATCCGTCACCAGTGTCTGTTGCTGCAGGTAGAGACAAATGCGCGCGTCGTAGAACACATCGGAATATCCCATAAATCGAAGCACGCGGATACCGCCTGCCGCCATGGGTGACGAAAACAACAGACAAACTCACCTCGCAGTCTTTATGGCAATCGTCTTGCTGAGACGTTGCAGGCGATCCCATAGAGCGCACAATGAGAGCTTCTTCTCGACGCCTGAGCGTTTTGCCACCCCGAACAAATCCTCGGCGCGCTGAGTAGCAACCATGCCTAGCGTGAGGACTGTGGGTCGGCAGCAGAACGCCCACTTGGTCTTGTTCCAACGACGGTTCGCGACGGTACCAAAGTGAAATTGTGAATATCGAGCGTGAAAACGCGGCATTCATGGCTCAAGCCAAGGCATCATGACCGCATTTCGGCGCTACGGAGAGAAGTTACTCACTTGATCAAGTTCGCTATGTATCCTTCGCACTTCTTGCCGGCCACAAGTTGCTCCAGCCGGGCCACTTGGGTCCCAAACACCTGCCACCGAAGATAGTGGTAAACACAAGACACGTCAAAGGTTATGTTCACCAGCTCGTGGTGGCGGGGCGAACGGGTGGGGTAGACCAATCCATTCTCTCGGGGCCGTCGTGTGGCGGCAACGTACGAGTGAATGCCATCGTACCTCCGGGGTAGCTGCATAAGCTGCGTTCCTGAAGCAACGCATCATGTCGGTCTTGTCGTCATTGTTAGCAAATGATGACGAGCAGTTCTTGAGGACGTTCTTGAAGACGTGCCACAAGCAGTGCAAATGCAGCGTCCCTGGCCAGCAAGAGGCTATTGCAGCCGTCATTGCAAGATCAGCGTCGGTCAAGATCACCTGTGGCAAAGGGTAGACGTACGTTGTCAACGGATGGGATAGGCCATAGACGGCGCGGTTATGTTGACAGCCACTGGACAAGCTCTTCTGCGTCTGCAGTACATGCCTCAACAAATATGGACGTCTATTTGTTCCTTTGTCGAAGCGACTTCATACTGTACATCATCCTGACCTTGTTCTACGCCATGAATGAGTGTTGTGTACATCGTGACAGGGTCACCTTCGGCTTCCGCCCACCGGCAGCGGCCTCATATCTGCTCAGGATCTATTGGAACGTCTTCGTACACTCAGACCGCAGCAGACCCTGCCCCAAAATGCAGCTGCGATTCTCGTCGTCGACGCCCNGTGACAGGGTCACCTTCGGCTTCCGCCCACCGGCAGCGGCCTCATATCTGCTCAGGATCTATTGGAACGTCTTCGTACACTCAGACCGCAGCAGACCCTGCCCCAAAATGCAGCTGCGATTCTCGTCGTCGACGCCCACGACGAACAGAAGAGGGCACCCGTACCTACAGACAAACAGTCAGCCCGAGTTACATGACGCATTGATACTCTTTCTAGCAGCACCAGATCTCTCGACTGCAAACGACGAGCGGGGGTTTTAAAGGGCAACCATGAGCAGCGTAGCGTAACGAGCGGTTCCACATGTGCTGTGGAGACTTGTAACCTGTCGAAGGTATTGTGTGCACGTGTTCGTGGACACCGTTGTATCGAGCTGTATGCAGCCCCGAAACCTTGCAATCTGTTCTTGCTGTTGGGCGGTAGACCAAAACACATCCACCAATCGTCCCTGGGCATCCAGCGTGGGATCGCAGTACATGCCAGGTTCGCTTTTCAGAGTCGCGAGGAAGTCGGTTGCGTCCTCGGGTTTCGCGTTCAACGCGTCGTTTACCTTCTGCATTTCGTTGTACACCTTTTGTACGAAAACGGCGTTACGAAAAGAAATGCAAGAAAACAAGAGCGTAAATTCTTCCCGCCACTAAACACAATGACGGGGAAGTCTGCAACAAGACTTGTCTGCCTCAGTAGGCAACGGTGTTATATAATGAGAAACACCGAGAATGCAACAACTCCACTATTTCACTGCTATTTCCTGCGAATTCACATCTATACTGAATGTCGTTGGACTCCCAACCGTAGCCACCCACTTTTCGTCTTCCCTTTTTACACCACCCATTTTCCTTCGTTTTCCTTTTCCTTTCGGGTATTGCATAGCTCGTCCAATTCGTACGTGAAAACTGGGCGGGTCATCGGCAGGCACCTAAGGACGGACAATGATCCTACCGCACTACGATCATATTACACTGTCTGAGCTGAGCAATGTTGCTGCGTGTTGCGGCGAAGCGATGAGCTGTTGCCTCGGATGGACTTACTTCAATACCAAACCGGTGACAATGGGTGCTAAATAACTCTATTCGTGTCCAGCCTTCCAGCTAACACACTCACATGGCAGAAACACTCACAGAGGAGATTGGGCGACTGTGGCGAGTATCGGAAAGACAAATTGTTGGAGCCATGCCCCAGGCTTTGCTATGCTCCGCAGCTGCGCAAGGAACATCAGCCGCGCGCACTTTGACGACCCGACGTGCCAGTTGTTGTCGACGTCGGGCACCACATGCCACCCGTTCTTCTCCAGCCTTTTCCGCACATCCGACGTGTAGTTGTACCATACCCCGAAATGGCCATCCTGCCATTATTGCAGAAATAGCTCCATGTACATTAGCCCGTACAGCACGACGCTGAATCGAAGCTTCACCGCCATTGTCTTCACTGCACTTCTGACTCCTCGACCTCCTTCGTTGGCAAACAATGCCGCCACAGAATTCAACAAGCAGTCGCCGTTGCCCTCGCTCTCGAACGGAGTGCCCACGCCCCCATCATCTTCGGGTTCAACCCCGTTAAGGAGAGCCGCGGTGAACTTGTCCTTAAACAGGCCCTTCGCCAGAAGCTCCTTTGCGGTCTGGACGGGAATCGAGGAGGATACATTACGGCCATAAATTATTCAGTTTATCGTCAATGATGAAAACACTATACGATAATGAAGCTGATCATGAATTAATTATGAAACAGAGAGCGTGCCTGTAAAATCACCATGTACCTAACTGACATTTGGTGAATGCCTGCATTTACCCTGTCTACTCCCCGCATGAAACCAGCGACACGTATGGAGCACGAATGGCACAACAGAGCACAAAAATATCTACCCACAAGATGGAATTGACCATGCCGCTAAGAGAACATCACAATTCAATTTCTCCGATACGAGGCTGCTACCCCATCTCCATGCAACAACGTTGTGCAGATGATTTGCAGCGCGATTTTGCAGTCCGTTCGCGGTCCGTTTGCAGTCTGGTGAAAAAAGAAAAGTCTTTCGTCGATCATTGCGCATGGAGCATCAATCATGGACCCGACCTTACGCACACACCTGGGACGCATCTGGCAGCAGTTCGCCGTCAATGGGATCTTCCTGCTTGGACACCCACTCCGTCACCTTCTGCAGCCTCTCATCTTCGACAGGTATGCCACTCGTGTCAGGAGAAACGGGTGGAGGACAAAGTCTAGCATCCCACGGACCTTTGCCAGCGCCTGAAGCTGAGAGTTAGCCATGGATGCTGCCGGTGATATGCGCGATTAGATACGCTGGCGTATTGCATTGGCCCGGGTTCGGTGCTGATACTCTGGAGTAGTGGCCCCGCAGAACAGATCACACCGACCGCAGGTTCGCAGGCTTTCACCCATGCGGCCGGATTTTTGTACAGCCCCCCCCCCACCCCTTGTGACGTGTATCTAGCCTGTTGTGCTGCAGTGCTGCAGTGCTGCAGAGCTGCTGTGTGCGGTGTGCTGTGCGCTATGTACTGTGTACTGTGTACTGTGTACTGTGTGGTGTACGCGGTGAGTGCATGAACATCGCGCTCTAACCATGACGCTTGTGCTTCGATTAGAGTCTTGGACGGCGAGATACCGCTGGTGGGGTGTTCAGCCTTATCCACCCCACCGGTGGGGCATGGACTATGCGTGGTTTACCCCACCGGCCGTGGCACCACTAAACCTTCATCGTTAGGCATCACCATGGATCCCACGATAGCCCTGCAACGCAGCAATACATTCGTGCGTGTCTTGTGTCAATTGGAGTCTTGTAGGGCTACATACGGCAGTGGGGAAGTCTGCCTGCAAGAGGACAGAATGCAGTGTTCGCTACCCACTTCGGGTGTTTCGCGTCATGCGGCGGGATTTCTTGACCTGCTCGCCCTCCCAGGTGCTGCCCGCTGCTGTGCGCTGTGCGTGTATCGACCAGACACTCCTGCAAGTGGTTGTGTGTCGATTGGAGCCTTGTCGAGGGAGATCCAGCTGGTGGGTCAATAACGTTATCGACCCCACCAGTGGGGTAGCGGCGGTATGTTCCCCACCGACCGTGGCACCACGAAACTGTGCCGTTTCGGCCTCACGATGGATCCAATGACACCCCTGCAACGCAGCAGCACACCCGTTGAAGTCCTGCGCCTATTGGAGGCTTGTACGGCGAGATACAGCTGGTGGGGTAAAACCGGTGGGGTGGTGAAGAAATTACCCCACCGGTGGGGTGTTTAGCCGTGTTGTGAAAAATAAATAAATAAATAAGCCCTGGTGTTTACCCCCTCCTATGTGACGCTGGATGGTTGTAGTTGTACCAAAAAATACACAGAAAGTGTAGACTAGTACTCTAGTCTACATACCCTGAAAAAGTGTAGTACACGTCTCATCACGAAAAATGGGACTGTCGCCGTAATAAATAGGACGAAAACACACACACACAACACACACACGGCGGCCTCGTCACGACCTTCACGGGCGGGCAGGCTAAGAACACATAGGTGGCACAATCTATCTCACAGCCTACATCTGGCAGACAGTGCACCCGACCCTTCGACGGCGGTGGTATCTCCTCTCACGGAATCACATTTTTTTTGTTTGTACAACCGGCGTACAACCTGGATTTCCTGCTACTACTAGTCTACACAGTACAGTAGTACTACTGCGGCGGCTGCGGATACTGGATCCCTGGACGTGTTCACCTGAAGGAAAAAGCCAAGAGAACCTGCGAGCAGGACTTGGCTCCCTCGTGACTTCCTAGTGACTCGCTAGGTTCGGACGAGGGTATGTGTGGAGCTATGGCAGTCTATGTATTATTGATGTTTTGTTTTATTCATCTAATAGACTACTAGCTGCTGGCACCATGACTGTTGGATCTTGGGAGTGTACGATCATCAAATTGGCGGATGCAGCATACCACGATATCCTGGCTTCGGCTGGGCTTGAAATAACCAATTGGAAATAACCCTTTTGCTGTCCTCCGCTCTTTGCATCAGTGGCTTCCTAGGTTCGGACGAGGGCATGTGTGGAGCTATGGCCGTGTATGTGTTGCTATTTTGTTTGAGTCATCTAGCTGCTGACACGATGACTGTTGGATCTTGGGAGGGTACGATAATCAATTTGGGAGATGCAGCATACATACCACGATATCCTGGCTTCGGCTGGACTTGAAATAACCCTTT